TCAAATAGTGTGTTGCCTATATTTTCTTCTATGAGTTTTATAGTTTCAGGTCTCACCTTCAGGTGTTTGATCCATTTTGAGTTAATTTTTGTGAATGGCGATAACAGATTAGACCCATCCTCTTTTTATGATGCTTTTAGCTCTCAGGGCTTCTGCTCTGCTCTCATCTCCCCAAAAGAAGCAAGAACAGTGTATTGACTCTCTTCCCCGACATCATAGAGCATGGTATTTGCCATGAAGTAGAAGTTAAGTAAATATTGATAAGATGAGTGGGTGGGTGATAAATGGTTGTTCTGTCTTTTGCTGAAGAAATGATCCTTCAAGGGCCACCGTTAGCCAGGCATTTGATTCTCCCTCAGCCCCAGCACTGGTTGTAAGCATAGAATGTTTAGTCCCATCCATCCCTTCCCCAGGGACAGAATACTGACAGAGAGCCCTCCTCCTTGAAGATGAATCTCTAGAAACACCTCTTTATCTGCAAAGTGTGGGTTAGTATGAATTTGGCTCCCACAGATCTCTTTCTCAAGAGCATTTGCCTCCAAAGCTTGACCTCTGAGCCTGGAGCACAGGGCTTGTTGTCAGGTGGGAGCTGTCCCCGGGGAGCTTTTCCCACCTTGGCAGCAAGGGTCCTGAGCAGTGGTGACTGAAGTGAATGATTCCACTGGAGGACAGAGTACAAAATCCAGAAATAGCCCCCACTGCCTGTGGAAAGCTTCTATACAACAAAGGCAGCATCGCAAATCGTAGAGAAAGAATGGATGATTTAACAGTTGGTGTTAGGATAACGGGAGGGCCCTGTGGAATCAGATACAGTTGGACCACTGTTCTCATACACCAGGATACGTTCCAAAGGGATTGGAGACTTAAGTGTAAAAATGAAGCCATCCAAGTACTAAAAGGAAACACAGGTAAATTTTTCTATAATTTGGGAGTAGGGAAAGCTTTTCTAATTCTGACTCGACATCCAGAAGATTAATAAGTTTCAAGGAACTGACGTTTTGTATGGCAAAAAAAGTAAAATTTAATTAAAATAAATTAATAAGTCAAATAACAAAGACAATGGCAGACTGGTCAAAAAAGATTCACAATCTACATCACAAAGGGTTAATATTCTTAGACTATAAAGAGCTTCTAATGTAAATTAGAAGGCCAAAAACCTGCCAGAAAAATGTGCTAAAAATAGGAACAGTTTACAGAAAAGGGAAGGCAAATGTTTCAAAACTATATGACAAGATAGTCAATTTTGTTTATAGTTAAAGAAACGCAGGGGCCAGCCCGGTGGCGCAAGCAGTTAAGTGCGTGCGCTCCACTGTCGCAGCCTGCGGTTCGCAGGTTCGGATCCCGGGCGCGGACCGAAACACCGCTTGTCAAGCCATGCTGTGGCGGCGTCCCATATAAAGTAGAGGAAGATGGGCAGGGATGTTAGCCCAGGGCCAATCTTCCTCAGCCAAAAAAAAAAAAAGAAGAAGAAGAAGAGGATCGGCAGATGTTAGCCCAGGGCTAATCTTCCTCACCAAAAAAAAAAGAAATGCAAATTGACCCAAGGAACTATTTTGTGCTGAGCATTTTGGCCAAAATCCAAACACTTAACAAAATACTCTCTTGTCCAGGCTGTGAGAAAGCAGAGATTTTCACACACTGCTGTTGGGAATGTGAAATGGTACGGTCCCTGTGGAAGGGAATTGGACACTACGCAGCAAAACTCCATGCATATTTGCCCATTGATCCTGCAATCCCACTTCTAGGAATCTACCCTAAGGAGACACTGCAAACAACACAGAAAGACACAGGGACCAGGCTATTTACTGCAGCTCTATTTGTAATAGCCAACCTAGAAAAAAGCCAAATGCCCATCAATAAGGCCCAGCAGAATAAACAATAGTACGGCCATACAATGGAGTACTTTGCAGCCATAAAAAGAATGAGGAAGGTTCCTCAAAAAATTAGAAATAGATTGACCATAGGATCCAGCAATTCCACTTCTGGGTATATACTAAAAAGAATTGAAAGCAGGCTCTCAAAGAAATATCTGCACTCTGTGGTCATTGCAGCATTATTCACAATGGCCAAAAGGTAGAAGCAGGGGCTGGCCTGGTGGCGTAGTGGTTAAGTTCACACACTCTGCTTTGGCAGCCTGGGGTTCTCAGGTTCGGATCCTGGGCACGGACCTATGCACCACTTGTCAAGCCATGCTGTGGCAGCGTCCCACATAAAGTAGAGGAAGATGCGCATGGATGTTAGCCCAGGGCCAATCTTCCTCAGCAAAAAGAGGGGGATTGGCGGCAGATGTTAGCTCAGGGCTAATCTTCCTCATTAAAAAAAAAAAATGTAAGCAACCTAAATGTCCATCTACAGATGAATGGATAAACAAAATGTGGTCTATCCATACAATGGAATAATATTCAGCCTTTTTTTTTTTTTTTCAGTGAGGAGGATTAGCCCTGAGCTAACATCTGTGCCCATCTTCTTCTATTTTGTATATGGGACGCCGCCATAGCATGGCTTGATGAGCAGTGCGTAGGTCCACGCCCAGGATCCAAATCTGCGAACCCTGGGCCACCGAAGCAGAGCACATGAACATAACCGTTACACCATGGGGCAGGCCCCAATATTCAGTCTTTAAAAAAAGGAAATCCTCCCAAATGCTACCACATGGATGAACCTGAAGGACACTGTGCTGAATGAAATAAGCCAATCACAAAAAGACAAATACTGCATGATTCCACTTATATGAGGTACTTAATCAAATTCACAGAAACAGAAAGTAGAATGGGGGTTACCAGAGATTGGGGGGAGGGAGAAACAGGGAGTCGTTCAATGTGTACAAGGTTTCCATCGTGCCAGATGAAAAAGTTCTTCAGATCTGCTGTACAGCAATATGCATAGAGTTAATACTGTAATGTACACAAAAATTAAGAGGGTAAATTCACGTTATGAGTTTTTTATCAAAGTAAAAAAATAAATAAAGTGATTCCTGTGCTGGAGAGGCTGATCCTTAGTCTTGGGCTGGTTACCCCACACTTCCCCACACTAACCAGCCCAGGAGAAGAGGCCTGGCGGACTGAGCACAGCATTGGTCCCATTCTGTGCTGCCCCAGGCCAGGCCTGAGCCCTCGGCCCAGATGCACAGTGAAAGCAGCCATGGGCAAATCCGAGAAAGAAGAGTGTCACTCCAGGGGTGCTAAGAGAGGCACCTGCAGCCCTGCCTTTTCACCTCTGCATCCCCCAGGCCTCTCCCCAGTCATTGCTGAGTTGACTTGGTTTTCGAAGGAATTGACCTTCCTTCGCGTGCAAAGGGCACTTCCCCTGTTTGGCTCTTCCTCGGCTCTCAGGCTCCCAGCCCGCTCTTCTTGAACCTCTCTGTGCTCTTACCTCACGTCTCTGCTGATTCCAAGTCCATCTTCCCCGACCACTGTGAGCTCAGAATTGCTGGCTCAGCAAGCTCCTCCTCTTCGGCACCTGGCAGGAGCTTGGCTGAGAGTGGGCATCCGCTAGTGTCTGTTACGTGGATCCCAAATGTATTGGGTTTACTTGGCTCTACAGCAACACTCAGTCAATCCCTTTGCTCTTCTAGCTGGAAGGAACGCTCCTAAGGAAAGAAATGCAAGCAAGCATCCTTATCTCCAGTTGACGACTGACCACATGGAGGCCTGGAGAGGTTGGCAACTTGCCCAAGGTCACTCAGCTAGTTAGCGACAGAGCTGGGACCAGCTTCCAGGTCTGGCTCCAGGCCTGGTGTTCTTTTAGGCGCACGCACACAAATCACCGTGGCTGACCTCAACGGGCTATGCTGCATTATGCACAACAGGCCCAGGCCTAGTGTTTGTGAGCTTTGCAAGGGCCCAGGAAAATGTATTGGCTCCTAAATTCAAAAAGAAAACAGCAAAATCAATAAAAGTGTTTACAAACTGCAACACCTACTCAAGTGCAATTGAGCTCAACTATTTTTTTAAATTATTTTTCGATTATGTTGAATGTGGGATGTAGGCATGTTTTAATGTATTTGCTGTGATCTGCAGTGGGGACCCCAAAATCTGAGTGCTGAGCCCCTCATAGGTCTTCAAACAGACCCACATACAGTAGTGAACCCTGAAGGGCACAGGCCTGGCAATGACCTGCCACTGAGATAACTGTATTATTTGGTAAAATCAGATGCCAGCAAGTCAGACCAGAGAGCACTTGGCAGAAACTTCTCCTGTCTCCAGGGAGCCCTGGGGCCCAAATGCCGCTTAGAAACACTCAACAACTCCACCTTCTTTGTTTGCTTAAGCAGCCACTTAGAATCAGACAGAGAAAGTACTGTCTTAAGTGAGACCCAGTCAGACAATGCTTGTGAAATGGGGGGAGGGGGTCTAACATCACCCCTGGAAGAAGAAGGAGGCCTGCAACCCTGCATGCTGCTGGAAGATAGCCTGAGGATGAAGCTTCATGGATGGGAGCAGATCCGAGAGAGAATCACAGAGAAATGGGACCAGAGCCCTGATGGAACCTTGCCTGAAGTCCACCTCCTCTTGATTTCTCAGCTACATGAGCCAAAAAATCCCCTTTGTTGCTAAGCTAGCGTGCCTTTGGTTTTGTTGCTTGAAACCAAAATCATCCTGACTGATGTAGACCTCTCTCACCCACCCACCTCGGGTATAACCTCAGATGCCACTGCTCTCCAAAGTGATTTTTCCCTGGAAAATTTCACAGGGGCTGCCCAAGAGGCAACTGCACTCATGCCCTCCGATCTTACACTAACAGTGATGAGAGCCAATCTGAAATCCGGGAACATTTCAGAAACATCCCCTTCTCTAGATGTGGCAGAGTAGCAGGTGTCCAGGAAGCTGGCCTTGAGGTAGGAGTGTTTGTGCTGCTGCATCCAGCATGTTTGGTATTCCCTTTCATGCCCTCCATGCCCTCCTAGGGATAACCTGTTATACAGACGGCATTCCTAAACTCCATTCACCCATTCCATATGCATTTACTAAGACCCCGTGTGGAACGCCCCATGCTGGGTCCTGGGCAAACAGTGGAGTGATGAGCCAAGGACGAGCTGGATCTGGGCAGTGGGCAGGGGACGAGGAGCAGGAGGAGGGGGGCTCTGGATTCGGACTGTGGGTGTCCATGGGCAGGTTTACTTTGCAGTCCAGTGCCTCAGTTTCCTCATCTGTCATATGGCGTGTTTGGCATATATAGTAGAGGCGCAGAAAGTATTAGCTTTCATTATTAAGTATTAATTTTTATTATTATTGGACTCTTTTTTAAGAAAAGGGACTGAGCGGAACCCACCCAGCTGGATGGAGCTTGGGCCTGAGGACCCCTACCTGGGAATACACGAGTTTCTGGCTAAAGGGCTGACTAAGCTGGTTGGGCTTAAGGCAAACTCTGGAGACCAATTCCAACTTCTGAGGTTCCCATTCAGGGCTCCTAAGAAGAAACCGCAGGAGGGGCCCTCCCTTACCCTTGGTTAAGTGCAGAGAACTATGTCTTAAGGACCCTGGGGCAAGGATTCCTTCTTTTCACAACAACTCAATTACATCCAATCAATTACATCCAATCCAAGTTTGCTCGGAGCCCCTGCTGTGTGCCAGGGCACAGGCCTGTGCACCAGAAGCAGAGACGGAAACAAGGTCCCTGTGTCCACTGAAACCTCGGTCTCCCCGTGGCCACAGAAGAACAATGATATAATGGCACAGGTGCCTACTGTCACTTAATAAGGGCTGGAGGGACCAATGTTGGAGGAAGAAAGAGATTCGCTCTGAATCCTGGAAGACTCCTCAGCAGAGGCAGCATTTGGACTGGAGTTTGCAGGACATGTAGGTCTTTGGTAGAAGGGGACAGCTTTGGGGAGGAGAGACTTAAGCAAAGGGACAGAGGTGGGGCCCACACAGGAGCTGTGGGGCACTGCAGGGACTGGTGTGGATGAAGCAGAGTGCTAATGGGACCGGCAGGAGGGAGGCCAGGAGGGAATGAGACCTCACGCAGCCCCAGCCTGCTCTGCCACCTGTCAGCCAACTGTGCCTGGCACACAGGGGCAGCTGCTACCAGGTCAAGGTGGGTCAAGCTCAGAAAGACAAGGGTAAGCCAGGTCGGGCATGAGGAATTGAACGGCCCCTCAATAGGTTCCCTA